CGCAGCCCCACGAGTTAGTAATAATGCATCCTATTTCTGAAATACGTAATCAGAACAGAAGTAGATGGTTATGTCTAGTTCTCTGTTTATGACTGGCTTTGCAGTTCGTTCTAAAGTCAGTTCCAACTCTAAACTTTTACGCCTAAAATCTGAAATTTTATTTACTATATTTTTTCTCGATTTAGATGGGTAGATATCTTCCAGTCGACCATCCTCTAACATATCGACATGAGTAGAGTGTTTATCCCTCCTCTAGTATCCTGGAAGTATCTTTGAACTATACATCTAACGGATGACTCCTTTTGTAGACATTTTCAAAATGTTTAACCCTTGTTTCCTGTTTGGGATTATGTCTTCTATATTTGAATCATTAACTGAACTCCTTTTTTGTCCTTTTGAACATGTTCCAATGTTTAACTTTGTTTCCTATTTAGGATTAGGTTTCTAGTATCTTCTAACGGATACTCTATACATCTAACGGATACGCACCAACTCCTTTTGTCCTTTTGAACATGTTCAAATGTTTAACCCTTGTTTCCTGTTTAGGATTAGGTTTCTAGTATCTTCTGAAGTATATTTGAACTCTATACATCTAACGGATACGCACCAACTCCTTTTGTCCTTTTGAACATGTTCAAATGTTTAACCCTTGTTTCCTGTTTAGGATTAGGTTTCTAGTATCTTCTGAAGTATATTTGAACTCATACATCTAACGGATACGCACCAACTCCTTTTGTCCTTTTGAACATGTTCAAATGTTTAACCCTTTTGTTTCCTGTTTAGGATTAGTTTCTGTAGTATCAAATGGCGTAATCTAAGCCCTCTTCGGATTTACGCACCAACTCCTTTTGTCCTTTTGAACATGTTCAAATGTTTACCCTTGTTTTCCTGTTTAAGGTTTCTAGTATCTTCTGGAAGTGTATTTGAACTCTATACATCTAACGGATACGCACAACTCCTTTTGTCCTTTTGAACATGTTCAAATGTGTTTAACCCTTGTTCCTGTTTAGGATTAGGTTTCTCGTAAATATTGAACTCTATTTACTTGATACGCACCAATCTTTTTGTTTTTGTTCAAATGTTTTTTTTCCTGAGGATTAGGGATCTACTGAATATATTTAAACTCTATACATCTATACGCACCAACTCTTTTGTCCTTTTGAACATGTTCAAATGTTTGTAACTATTTTAGGATTAGGTTTTTGTCTTCTTTATTTAAACTCTATACATCTAACGGATACGCACCAACTCTAAAATTATATTTACCATATATTTGTTTTTTTATTTTTCTCTGAATAGGATTTGTTTACCTATCGCCTTTAACTATTTGGAACGTTTAAAATGTTTAACCCTTTTGTTTCCTTTTTTAGGAAGTTCCTTCTAAAGTCTACTTCAAATATACACTACGAATATTTCAGCCTAAATTTTATTTACTATTTTTTCCTCAATAGGAGTAGATAATGTCGTTCTGTTAGATAGAGGTTTATTACTTTTAGGTTAGTGGAATTTCTTTCACTCACTACACTATCTCCGTCACAGGCAAGTAGTCGGCGAAATTTCCCTATTAGGTACAACAAAAGTAGCCAAAGCAGAACATATGCGTTGTATTATTTATTTCTAATGAAAACTTTTTTTTTCTGGCGAAAAGACGTCTAATCTGATTTTCAGTCAGACAGGATTGGTGTGTTGGCTAAGAGTGTAGACGACAGAGCCAATACGGCTCTTTTAGGAAGGTCGACCAAAATTGTCGAACACTATTAAACAATTGCATGCTATACACATGCAGACATGTGATGCTGTGATTATGTACGCAGTTACTAATTGTTGAAAATGGAATATTATGTAAGTGGAAGTAGTATTAGATCATTTCTCAATCTTTTTAAGCAAGGGCTCACATACAGTTCTGTTCAATAAAAGTGACTCACCTGATTTTATTTACTAAAAATATTTTTTGTCTATTGTTTTTGGGCTTAAAATAATTTTTAATCATACTAATATAAATACCCCTTCCTGACCACCTAGGAAAAAATTATTCATCTTAAGGTATTCTATTTATAATTATAAATTTGGATATAAATGAGATTCAGGAAAAAAAAAACTGTGCAAGAAAGTGACTCAGATATCGCATTCCAATGATTAAACTGGTAAATTTAAAGAGCTTTTGACAAAATATTGAAAGCTATTTTACAATACACTCAGAACAGTATTCTAGAGAATTCTAGAACAGCTTAAATTAAATCTAGAGTATTCCAGAATTTTCCAGAAAGCCTCATACAGTATAAAAACAGTTTGAAATAGCCACTCAAGTCACTAAACAGATGAAAGGGTACAAACATGCATCAGAACCACTTAAGGCATCTATTATTGCCCTCTCAAAAGCAGGCAAGTCTACGAGAGAAATTGCAGAAATTGCTATAACCTCACAATCAACTGTCTCTCGAGTGTATAGGGCACATAATGATGCCACTCCTGCTCCAAGGAAGGAAACAAGGGGACGAAAGAAAATGATTGATGATAGAACTGGCAGGGTAATCAAGAGAGAAGTTGCAAAGAATAGGACTATAACTAGCCAAGAAATTGCAGCCAGCCTAAGTGAAGAGCAAGGTGTTAGTCTTGCCTCTTCAACAATCCGTCAGAACAAGGTTACAAATCTTGTTACAACAAGGCTACAAATATTGCACACGAAGGTTTAAGCCGCTAATAAGCAAAGCCAACAAAGCAAAGAGACTTGAATGGGCTCACTATTACAAAAATTTAACCATAGAAGACTGGAAGAATGTTCTCTTCTCCGATGAAACAAACGTTGAGCTAAATTCAAAGGATAAGATGAGTTACTTTTATTGAACAGCACTGTAGGAGCAAATGAATAAATTACGGTACACTTAGCAAAGTCTTTAAAGGGTATACATTGAAATCTTGTGAAATAAAACTATGTATTTAAAGAAATACTCACACAAATAGGAAGTTACTTTATTTCTATGTTTCTATTGAACTATTTGTGCAGCTTATTCCGTGTAAAACCTGTGCCTGTTGTTTTTTCTCACACTTCTCTTGTAGACTGCTTTTGGCAATGGTATCTAGCAGTCATTATCAGAAGTTCTTTGGAGGAAGAAGTGGAATGATTCAACACTAGAATAGTTCGGGAGATTGTAACAAATAGCAACATTACTTCCTAAAATAATCGTTTCTCTTTCTCTCTTATTTACGTGCTATCTACCTATGTCTCTTTTCGATGAAGATTCCCTTACTTTATTTTCTTCTTGTTTTTACGAAGAGTTGCCTTTCATAAATTCTTCCTGCGATTAAATTAAGCCTGAAACCTCGGAATGTCATCTATATTTAATATAAAGAAATTATTTTATGGTTTTACATGTAAAAAAAATAGCCATTTCTTGTTTAGTTAAAAAAAAATTATCTTTTTTTTTATTGTTAAAGGGTAATTTAAGAAAAACCTAGATATATAACTCGAAGACATTTAACTAAGAATTGATTTTAAAATTTAATTCTCAATTTATTTTGGGTTGTGAGAATATGATATATAAATTCAAAGACAATCACACAATTTTAGATAATTGAAGGACGAAAAGAAAATATATCTATGTAAAGCGATCTCTCCTTCAGTTTTATATAGTCGCTTGAAAGGACGAAATGTGTTACATAGATTTGTTTTGCAATTTATAATTCGTTTTTCCTAAGTATTGGGTTACACACATTGAACCACACTGCCATTCCCAATATATAACCATGTACAGACCTTCTGGTGTTATGCAAATCACATCATTATCATCTACTTGACTTTTGTAATCGTTGGGCGGATCCAAATGCAGAAGCCACACTAGCTGTTTTCCGCAACGGTCTATCAACAGCAGCCATAAGCAATTCTGGTAGTCACACCTGTCCATTTTTTGGCATTGTACAACAAGTTTTAGCGTTGTCACCCTCTCCTACGTCCATCTTTAACGGTAACTTGCATGGTGGTCGTGCACAGGCTGCCGTACATTGTAATGCGTCCAAACCACACCAGATTTCTCCGTTTGACATAATTACAACCCTCTATGGAAAACCTCCTCACTGTCAGTCAACAATTTACCATTCTCAGCTTCTACTAACGTTGTTTTCTGTTGGTTGGTCTTAGTCTGTTTATTATTGCCAGTAAGCGTATCCTTATCAATGGTTTTGCGCTTATTTTCTATCCATTCCTCTTTAGCTGCCCGCAATTTCCTCATCATATCACTGTGCACTTCCTGATATTGGGCATGAAACCCCGCCAACTGGGTGCTTCTTTCCTCTCAGTTCTTTGCTCTTATCACACAAATCCAAGATTTCATTCGTGACCCACGGTTGCATTTTTCTTCGGTGTTTGCCAAAACTTCCTCAGTTGTTGTGAGTAACACTTCTTTAATGTGATCTGCAAAATTGTCTATATCACTGCTATTTATGTTCAGGACTGCGAACTTTCTACCAACTTTGGTCTAGAACAGCTGAGTGACTTCAGGTTGTTTTGCTTTATCAATATGGAAGCGGATGCGGGTATCCTTTGAACAGCGGTTAATTTTCAGTTCTCATTTAAAAGTATTTTTTTTTTAGCAGGAGTATTACTAATGACTGAATGCCCTCGCTAGGCAACTTTTTGTCCCCAAATCTTCTTATTGTTAAGACTTTGATAGTTTCTTCGCCTCCATGTTTTATCAGGGGGAATATTATCCCCTCCGTGTGACTTGCCAGGTTTTAAGCTCTTTACTGCCATCTCAAAGTCTTCTTTAAGCATTGACGGACCGGTCTAGTATTCATCTGCGCAGTGCTGTCACTTGGCAATATGGAGACATCTGGATGTAACTGATAATTGTATAAACCATCACAGCATTGCATCAATCTATGGAGAAACTTCTCACTGTCAGTCAACAATTTACCATTCTCATGCTCTAAGACCGTTTCTTTCTGTTGGTTGGTCTTAGTGACCTTAGGTCTGTTTATTATTGCCAGTAAGCGTATCCTTATCAATGGTTTTGCACTTATTTTGTATCCATTCTTCTTTAGCTGCTCGTAATTTTCTCATCATATCACTGTGCACCGCGCCAACTGAGTGCTTCTTTTCTCTCAGTTCTCTCATCTTATCACACAAATCCAAGATTTCATTCGTGACACATGGTTGTATTTTCCTTCGGTGCTTGCCCCAAAATTTCTCAGCTGTTATGAGTTAACACTTCTTTAATGTGATCCAGGGCTAAAAATAACATTTTAAAATCACATAAACCTCAATAAAAAGAATTTTCCTTTGACCAATTCTTGTGAACTTTTCAATTACGAGAATTTTTGACTGTGACAGATATATATTGAGGAACTTAGGATCTACAGAATCTTACTCCTCTGAGAAGGACCCCAATACATAAACGTTTCAAACTAGATCAGGAATACGACATAGATGAAATGAGTTCCCCTATTGTACTGAATCTTTTCCACGATTATGCGCATTTACAAATACAGATGAGGTAATGTCGGCACTGACGATTTAAGCATGGCATACCACATGCCAGTAGGAGACAAAAAGGCTGCTTTCCCCAACGAGGCCAATTATGAAGGAAGGGGAGTTCAGCTGAGGACATAGATATTCATAGTTTGGATAAGAATTGATCTCGGACAGAAAATCACCATCCCCTGTCAAGTATTCCAAGAAATTGTACTTAAGATAGACCTGAATCTGTGATCAAAAGTTTTACTGAAAGCAGTGTTAGCACCGGCCCTGAATCCATCTTAAAACTTCATAATATGGAATTAGTAAATACTAAACGCTTCAAATGCCTCGGCGTAGGGTTAGTTTTAACAAATTTAGTATATGACAAAAGGAAATTAAACCTCGTATAGGTTGCGCCAGAAGTAGTTTTTTTGGCCACAAAACCAAAACTCGAGTCATATCCTTTTAATAACCACGTCAGCTCGAGATTTTCATGTGGATGTCATGTATGGCGTCAAACTCATTCAGAAATATATAAACTCATAGCTGTATACATTGGTTAAAATGGCTTTGAGTGAGTGAAGTCTGTTGTTCTTAGCGAAGGTCATCCTTCTTTGAGCCACGTCGACTGGCGCTACACAATCACAAAGACAGAACTACACCAGAAACCACATCAGATGAGGACATTCGATAAAAATGGATAGCACATGTAACTCAAAGAGTAAATAATGGTTATAATCAAGATGTCGGGGTTCTACACAAATTCAGGAGAAAATAATGACATTCTAATAAAGAATTCTAGCTTAGGAGACGTTATTTAAATTAATGAAGGCATGAAACCTACTAATTATTAAATCTGGATGTTGGGCTAAAAAAGTAATTGATCGATGGTGGGCGTGAAATTATTAAAGCACAGCCAGTCTCTATTACCTTGTTTAAGAAAAACATACATTTTGATCACTATTTACATTATTCGGACTATTGTCCTCATCTTTGTCGCCATATTTATTACAACGTTTCGGCCTTTCAGTATCTGTCTATATTTCTGAGATGAGGTATAATGTACGCTATTTACATTATTCGGACTATTGTCCTCATCTTTGTCGCCATATTTATTACAACGTTTCGGCATTTCAGTATCTGTCTATATTTCTGAGATGAGGTATTATGTACACTATTTACATTATTCGGACTATTGTCCTCATCTTTGTCGCCATATTTATTACAACGTTTCGGCCTTTCAGTATCTGTCTATATTTCTGAGATGAGGTATTATGTACACTCTTTACATTATTCGGACTGCTGTCCTCATATTTGTCGTCATATTTATTACAACATTTCGACCTTTCAGTATCTGTCTATATTTCTGAGATGAGGTATTATGTACACTCTTTACATTATTCGGACTGCAGTCCTCATATTTGTCGTCATATTTATTACAACATTTCGACCTTTCAGTATCTGTCTATATTTCTGAGATGAGGTATTATGTACGCTATTTAAATTATTCGGACTAATGTCTTCATCTTTGTGGCCATATTTATTACAACGTTTCGGCCTTTCAGTATCTGTCTATATTTCTGAGATGAGGTATTATACCTCTTTACATTATTCAGTTTCTGTCCTCCATATTTGTCGTCATATTTATTACAACATTTCGACCTTTCAGTATATGTCTATATTACTGAGATGAGGTATTATGTAAACTATTTACATTATTCGGACTATTGTCTTCATTTTTGTCGTCATATTTCTTACAACGTTTCGGCCTTCTTCAATGGTTGGAATGTCCAACTGAACCCTTTATTTCACCCGCTGGGGTAGACTGCTCTAGTTCCACGTACCATGTTTAATGGATGTCAGTTATCAGTTATCTCACGTTAATTCCCCTCTCCAAGTTCTCCACTGCCTCAACTGGGTATTGAACTCACATTCTTTGGACACATAGCACGGGGAATAAAGGCATTAGTTAGATCCAGTGAAAGGACTCAAAGATATATATATATATATATATATATATATATATATATATATATATATATATATATATATATATATATATGAAGTGAGTTAGATAGATAGATAGATACGTAATAAAGATGGATATGAAGAGATAGACCGAGAGATAGATAAAAACAAAATATATATATAGGAAGTGAGATAGGTAGATAGATAGATGAACTACAATGATAGGATTAGATTGGTATATATATATATATATATATATATATATATATATATATATATATATATATACTTTATCGTCATTGACTATTGTACATTTTATAAATTGTTTCTGCTTGTAGTAGGCGAAGATTGGAACATGTCAACTCTTGCAGAATTGTCGCTCTTTATTTAAAAAGTATATTTCTTTGGCGTTCTTCGATGAAAGGGTGTCATTTTTATTGTCGGCGAAAACTTGGCTCGCTCGTTGTATTGTTGGCATCAACGAGGGCAAAAGCGTTTGCTGATTGGCTGAGTCATGAAAACGGCCATGAGTCGGACCCAGCCAAAGAATTTTGAGCACTGGCCAACCATTATGGTCGGCCAAATGTTTAGTAAATATTTGTCGAAAAGGAGGAATGCTTTTCAGAAATGTCGGATGATAAAAGGTAAATGAGAAAAAGCAGAAGGGAAATAAAGCTCTTTGGGGAGTTTCTTATTGTCGAAATAGACTGCGCTTGGCGCCATTGCGTCTTGTACCGAGCGAAGACGTCTACATTGTTCACGGTGGCTTTTTGGTTCGGGATCAGAGCTAAACCATCCATTAGACGCCATTTTATTGTTGGGGCCGTTGTTAGAGAAGCTCCTTTTTTTGAAAAGTTTTCTTTCACTTTAGAATATTTTTTTTTTCTTTTACTTTGGTTTCTAAGTCTTAGTCAGCCTTTTTAACTCGTAGTAATTTCATACTTGGTTTCATTGGGCTTTTTTTTCTTATTTATCTTTAACTTCTACTTCATCATCATTATCATTATCATATGATATTCATCTCTTCTTCTTTTTCACATTCATTCATAAATAGCAACATCATCATCATCATCATCTTCATCATCATCATCATCATCATCATCTTCATCATCATCATCATCATTTTGACTTTCTTCTTTTCGTTTCTTTCTTCATATTCTCACTATTTGCATCCGGTCATACCATATTTTGATTTTTTTCTCCATCGTCATCATCATCATCCAAGCACTGCATCCTTTTGCCTTAACCAGCAAAATCTATTGTTTCTTTTTCTTTTTTCTTCATCATCATCATCATCATCATCAGCAGCAGCAGCAGCATCATCAGCATCATCAAATCTGAATCTTTTTTTTTTCTTAACAATCAAAATCTATGTCATCATAATCTTCTTCTTCTTCATTATCATATGTTCATAAATTCCACCTTTCCATCCGTTCAAACCTTCGTCTACTCATTCTTCACCATCATCATCATCATCATTAGTACGAACTTGTTCTTCTTTTTCATCATCATCATCATCATCATTACGAACTTGTTCTTCTTTGTCATCATCATCACCATCATCATTACGAACTTGTTCTTCTTTTTCATCATCATCATCATTACGAACTTGTTCTTCTTTATCATCATCATCATCATCATCATTACGAACTTGTTCTTCTTTTTAATCATCATCCTCATCATCATCACCATCATCATTACGAACTTGTTCTTCTTTTTCATCATCATCATCATCATCATTACGAACTTGTTCTTCTTTTTCATCATCATCAACATCATCACCATCAGCAACAAGATTCAATGTGCATCATTTTTACTTAACAATCAAAATCCATGTTTTCTTCGGCTTCTTCATCGTCATATGTCCTTAATTTTATTCTTTATATCCGCTCATAAGTTCATCTTCATAATCATCATCACAACTGTTTTCTTCTTCTTCTTCTTTTTCTTCTTCTTCTTTTTCTTCTTCTTCTTCTCCTTCTTCTTCACCATCATCATCATAATCACGACTTTCCTCTTTTTTTCTTCATTTTCATATGAGTTTCATCGCCTCTTTTTCCCATCGATTTGTAACTTAATCATCATCATCTTCATGAAACATAATAACTTTTCTTCTTCTTCTTCTTTGTAGTCGTCGTTGTTGTCTTGTCTTTCGATCAATAGCTCTTGTTGTATTTGCTGTTGTTCTTCCTCTTCATCATCATCATCTTCCTTTTCTTTTTCTTCGTCGTCGTACTCATCGTCTTCGTCTTTTTTGTTGTTATTGTTGCTGCTGTTCTTCGTCTCCTTCTCGCCATCCATTCGCTGTAGTGCCGTATACATGAAACAAAACGTTGTAAGTAATTTAAGCTCCAGGTGCGAATATGCACTGGCTCTGACTTAAGAAACGTTGAACGCTAAGGATTACATCGATATGGGAGCCTATATCTGACGAGGGTTATTTCGGATCATAACACGAGTTCACCTGTTAATATTTTATTTTAGTAGCATCAAAGGTTCGTGGTCAATCTCAATTTCTTATACTAAATATGTTATAAGTTGTATATTATTCAGTTAAATGCCACAAGTGATACACACTTGAGAGATCATGTCTCTTTTGAGTCATATATGACTGGACAGATTTTCTCGCAGTAGATTGCTACTTCTTTCTGCTATAGAATGATTACCAACTAAGGCTATAGAGCCGATACTCTCCTGCTATTCAACACTAGCCATATATGGTCTGGTGCTTCTGATGTGGATCTTTTACGAAATCCAAAGAAGGATTTCTAATGTGATCGATTCTAGGCATCATTCACTTTCTCACCGACGTAAAGTGGCTGCTCTCTGTCTTTTCTACAAACATTTTCACGGCAACCGTTGAGCTTTTTTTTTTCCTGGTTCCCCGACTACATGAATTTAAGCGTGCTACTAGATTGGTAGTTAGGTCTCTGTTTTTTCTAACTAGCTAGATGCAACCGCCGCTTCTATTTTAACTGTTTCTTTGCTCGCACTTCTCACCTGTGGAAGTCCCTCCCGTTTTCTTGGTTTCATAAGAACTACACTCATCAACAATTCAAATACAACCTCAATCAACACCTGTCTTCTATAGCCCTGTTTTTGTTTTATTTGTTTACTGAGTCCTTCTTATTGTTTGCATTCTAGGGGCATTATCGGAGAGAAACGATTTAAAAAAAAAAACAGCTGGGGTGGAGAGAAGGGATGGATACATACATTTCTCATGATATTTGCGCGAAAGCGAATGCAATGAACTCAACTGAAATTCGAACTAGGCTCCCAGATTTCTCAGTTGGAGACGTTATTCGAAATATCACACCGCACATTCAAAAGCGATATATACAAGGACTTATTTGAAAATGATTTATTAATTCCACTTGGTGCGATGGTGAATATAAATTCGATTCCGGGACAATCGGTAATATTTGAGAGAAGATAATAATTAGCTCATGAAATCGTGACAATATGAATATGAAAGGGGGCCATATCCTATTTTAATTCATGATTTTCATATTCAAAATGCATTACTATTCCCATTATCCGAACATCTTAGGACAAGCCCCGAAAAATTTTAAATTCTAGATAAATAAATACACAAATTATCAAAAACTCATTTTCTAAAACAAATTTAACATTTCATCAGCAAATAAGATTTTCAAATATTTTGTTCAAGTTTTCGTCTGGCTTATTGTTATGGGGTCCACCCCTTTTTCAGACAAGTGGACTCGACCAGTGTGTACTTGGACTGCTGCCGTTAAATACCCAGAGTCAGTCAGAGAGAGAAGGAGGAGTGATTGTGATTGAGTTGGAGGTAGAGTAATAGTGTAAGGTAACCGCTTTTAGAAGTCACATTTACGAACACGTAGACTCCTACTTCAAGACTGGATTTACCAGACTGTGTATATATAATATTATTGCTACTAACCGCGTTTCTGGATCTACTAACCGTATTACCAATTGTATTATTGTGTAAATACATTTATTTGTTATATTTCATTCCTACGTTTGTCATTCATTGGAGACCAGATTTCATCTCGGAATCCAAAACATTTATTTTCCCCATGAATAAAAGCGTTCAACTTTTATCAGTTACCGACTGAACTCCAATTATTTGTTTTATTTTTTTCCAGAAGCTGTATACTTTAATGTAGTTGTAAGTGTACCTACAAATTCATAGATTATTTTTTCAGAAGCTGCATACATTAATGTAGTTGTAAGGGTACCTTCACATTCATAGCCTATTTTTCCAGAAGCTGAATACTTTAATATAGTCGCAAGGCTCCCTTCACATTAATAGCCTAACCTGCTGAAACATTTGTCAGGGCTTATGTACTGAAATTTCCATTTAAAACGTTAAATTAAGTTTTGTAAATTCTGAAAATACTTGTCCGAGATGAAATATTAAGATGGGTTCAGTTCCGGTAATTGGGAAATGTTCGGATGATTTCACTGTTTCGCTTCATTTCACATAGGGATAATAGAAGGCTAAATGTTGATGAACAGATAAAGGTGGGGAAGCTTCGAACCATAGTCCTGATATACATTTAATAGAATAGATAGGCATATTGGAGTTCGGATATTTGTACACCAGATTCATGATTTTTTCTCACACAATAATAATTATAGGTAGAAATACCCGTGAAAAGTTCCTATATGAATTTTCTTATGAATATTAATTGTTAAGTTAAGGATATAAATAAGCTCATAGCGAGTTCTACGACAATAAAATATCCGGAGAAATCCGCCTATAATATCGTTATTTTTTGAGCTCAATAACAAAACAGTGCAATAACAATCATGAATATGAATGCTTGTCGTTATTTAAAAGAAAAATAATATAAAAAAGATTTGAAATTGCAAACTTTTTTTCATTTCACTGAATCAGACGTTAAAAACTTCTATCTTTTCACTTCCTTTCATTTTCTCAATGAAACCAAGTAGCGTCCCTGATATGTTCATTCTGTCTTTCCCTGCGAAGAAAACGCCATTGTCGATAATTTATTGGGTATTGGCAGATGTTACACACTTCTAACTTGCCTCCTTTCTTGCTTTACTTCTTTCAATTTCTCACTGAAACGACGTAATGTCCCTAATATGTCTTCATCCTGGGTAAGACGTTAAACTATATCCGCGTCCAAGGTAAGACGATAAACTACGTCCAGCAGCAAGGCCTCTGATCAGGAGATTTTGAGGTGCGTAGAACCACCTCAATTGCTGGTGTTCCCACATCCACCGTGTCCCGGTGTGGTAGCAACTGTTAGGGTCCCGGCTATGGGCAAATAGTTAACTATTACCGGAAATACTTTTTTGAAAATAATTATTAACAGCAATACAAATTAGAAGGAAAAATATAACCAGAAGAAGATTTTTGACAAAGCAAAATATTACCAGCAATAAAAAATGTTGTCGCCATTAAATGACTCATTGAGGTTGATATGCCGTAAAACAAAATAAACCAAACCAATCTAAACCAAAGAATACATATTCTATTCATACGAATGTATCCTAAAAATGTTGTCAGCATTAAATAACGCATTGAGGTTGATATGCCGTAAAACAAAATAATCCAAACCAATCTAAACCAAAGAATACATATTCTATTTATACGAATCTATCCTAAAAATGTTGTCGGTATTAAATAAACCATTGAGGTTGATATGTCGTAAAACAAAATAAACCAAGCCAATCTAAACCAAATAATACATATTCTATTCGTACGAATCTATCCTAAAAATGTTGTCGGCATTAAATAACCCATTGAGGTTGATATGCCGTTAAACAAAATAAACCAAACCAATCTAAACCAAAGAATACATATTCTATTCATAAGAATCTATCCTAAAAATGTTGTCCTCATTAAATAACTCATTGAGGTTGATATGCCGTAAAACAAAATAAACCAAACCAATCTAAACCAAAGAATACATATTCTATTCATACGAATCTATCCTAAAAATGTTGTCGGCATTAAATATCCCATTGAGGTTGATATGTCGTTAAACAAAATAATAGCCTCGTCCGGGTTTCTATCTGCCCGAAGGCAGAGAGTTCGACTGTTTAGCTGGAACAGATTGCAGCTAGTCTCAATAGTCCGTTGACTTGCAGATACTTATATGCAATTACTACATATAGTGTAGTCACTCATGACGGTGACAGGTTATTCCATTACATAATATTCTATATTAAAAGTTTCTTTTCTCGCACTTTTCCCTTGTGGAACTCCCTCCCGGCTCCATCCTTTCCAGGAAAATTTAATCTGCAAAAATGTAAATGCAATGTCAATTGCTATCTACTGTTCTCCTTATTGCTCTTTTCCCTTTCTCCTCTTGACTAATGTTTCTATTTTTAATTCCAGCACACCCTAGAACCCCTTGCGTGCTACTGTCTATACTGCCTTGTTTCGGGTGATAACGATGAAAAAAAAATAATAACATTTAATTTTAATGTCATTTTTTTTAATCTTATAAACTCAGTAATTCCACATATTATTATATATACTTTTAAAATCTCCGCTTTTAAAGTTTTAAACATATATTTATATCCTTTTTTCTTTCTTTTTCTTTCTTTCAGGTGAGTAAGCATTACCTTTTTTTTTCTCCTACCTGCCTTTTTGAGATGACCAAGAGAAGAAAAAGACGACAGCAAAAGAAAGGTCCGTATAAAATAGCTATTTCAACAAACAGATTCCATATGACGATATTTTATAAGACACAGCGCCTAATAACGGGATATAAAGAATGTGATACAGTCTGCTGACTGCCAAATCGAATGCGTTTTAACTTTGTTAAACTGGAATCATCCAAGCTCTACACTTCTTGACTACGAGTTTCAAGAGGCGACTTCAAGATACATTATAATATTTGCGTCATGTTTTTCAATTGCTTTCCACTGGAACTCTACAGTAGTGTATTAGAAGAGTTATATTGAACTAGAAAGACTTGTGAAGATGTCACGGTTTTTCTATTTGAAATTTCTTAATTCTTTCGCGATGAGGTTCATCAATATTGATTGATGAAGCTCATCGCGAGTTCCGAAACTAAAATATCCATAGAAATTCACCTATCACAAATATTTGAGCATAAAAAAGTTTTTAAAAAAAGTATTGCAATGGCAATCATAAATATGAATGTTGTTTTTTTTTTTTTAAGAAGAAAGGGGTTACAAATGTAAAGATTTGAAAATGTTTTTTTGCATTTGACTGAAACAGCTGCTAAACACTTTTATCTTCCCTTTCTTTCTTTCTTTCTTTCTTTATTTGATTTTTTTTTCACTGAAACCAAGTAATGTATGTCTTTTTGTTTTTCTACGCAATCAAAA